CTTATGTGTACCTGCTTTGCCGTACGTGGCGGGGTACTTCCGTACAGGAGAATGTACCTAGTACAGCTTCACGCCGGACAATAGGTCTGTTCTCGAGATGCGGTCGCAAAGCGTCCATGCAAGACCGGCTGCTGCGTCATGAATGAAAAAAACACAAAGTACAGTAGAGCATCCAAAGCCTCGGCCTCTTGCAATAACATGTATGCCAGGTACCCCTTTGCCTTTGCCATTGCCATTGCCTGTCCGATCAGTCTGTGTATCAGCGGCGATGGGAGATTGTGTTTAAAGTGTTTGTGCGCAGTTGTTTCGTGTTCCCGGTTGTCCTTTTTTCGGTGCTTATGGTGTCCAAGCCCGTGCACGTGCAGCCAGGTATTACACCCAGCACCAGCGTCAACAGCGCAGAGTTTTGTTGCTTGCGGTCCCTGCCAAGGCCTCGTCCGGACGGCTCTCAAGGCCTGCTAGCAAAGATGAGGTCGAGGCACGCATGGCACGGTTCTCCTTGCATGTGAAGACTGGATCTCTTTCAGGCTTTCATCGCCTCAAATCGGAGATGGATGACCCCAGAGGCAGTGCCCGCTAGTTACTAGTTCCTGACGGAAAAACAGTAGCACCGTAGCTCCAGGCAAGGCTGGAGACAAGTTGGTTTGCTCGAAGTCTTGCAACATTGCCAGTCAGAAGAGATCCTGAAGTTGATGAACCCGCATGATCAGAAGCGGGTCATCTCCGCTGGGACCCTCTCGGTCAAGTTGTAATTTTGGACAACGGAACTGAGTGCAAACAAGTAGCTTTTTGACACATGTCCTGAGGACTCTGTCTGGCTGTCGGGATCCTGTTGCTGTGCTGCAGACCCGGGCAAAGAGGGCTAGAGAAATGGAGGCTGAGTTCCGAGCTTCCGACTTTTTGATCACCCGATCGCTTTTCAGCTTTGGCCTGTCCTGGCCCAGATTGAGTTCGAGCTGATTGCCAGCGGCAAGAAGGTCGAGCCACCAAAGGCTCAGAGAAACGAGAGACAGCTCGCGCTCCCCAAGTTTCAAGTTCGGCCGTGCTGCATTGTGTGATTGCATAGCATTCTACCTGCGCAGCCGGCGGCGGAAACAATGCCGATGCCAGTCTTCTCCGCGGAGGCGGCGCACGCCTTCATCCATGCAGCCCCACAGGCCAGACGTATGCTGCAAGTACAATGTGAGCAGGCACCCCAGCTGTCTAAGCAGAAGTCGCTTGCAGGAAGTGCGATCAGAGAATTCTCGTTTCGCACCGCCGCCGGAAACGGATCCGGACAGCTTTGTCACGGAAGAGCTCGAAGGTCCGCTGACCTCAGAGGTCGGTGGCTGCGGCAATCGGCGTCCTTGTGCAGTCGTGGTATGCGCACTCTATGGAAGGTTAAAGGCATTGGCGGTGTCATCGAGATGTTGCGTGCCATGGTGGCATGTGTGCGTGTGTGTGTGTGTGTGTGTGTGCGTGTGTGTGTGTGTGTGTGTGTGTGTGTGTGTGTGTGTGTTTTTTTCGTCACTCCTGGCCTTCTGCACGACCGAACGACCGTGACTGCAAGGCGCCAAGTATGGCTGCTCGAAAGGACAGCGATTGCGGGTCATAGGCCTGAGCGGGAACCGCACTGTCTGATTTTAATACAGAGGAATTTCAATCAACAAGCTGGTGCGAAGTGGCTTGGAAGACTGAACGTGTGTCTGTATGCTTCAGAAAAGGTTTAGAATCTAGAAGCCTAATGTCATGTTAGGCTATGTTATGGTCGGTTATGTTGTGAGATGTTGTGTTATGTTGCATCATGCTGTGTTACGTTATGTTAAGTTATGTTACGCCCGGCACGGGACACTTAGCGGCCGCGAAAGGTGCATTGTACATAAGATGCGGCCAATTTTTGTTCATGCCTGCTCACTATTTGGGTAGTTCTCTAAATTAGGGTCCCTTTTTGCATCCCCAAAATAGACGAGTGTCAAGTTAAGAGAACTTCAGGGAGTTGCCCTTCAACACGTGGCGTGATCTGATTTCGGGGATGACAGGTTGCTCCACCCGTAGCGATACGATTGTTCTCAGTGCAAGAGGTGAGACACCCGCATTGCTGCAGTTCGAGGGAGGCAAGACGGCGCCAAAGAACCACGAAGGCGGATTTGGCCAAGAGTTGAGTTTTCGAAGCGCTGATCGGGTATGCCGACACGTCGTAATTTCACTCCGAGTTGTGCGCGTGAGTTGGAGAGGAATGGGGTGGAAATGGATCATTGGAGAGAACACTGTCGAAAGCTTGGTTTGCCTTTTGCAGCGTTAGGAGGGGCTGCAAGGATTGCGGTTTCGGCTAACTTGTGTCATCAGAAGCCGAGGCGGCCTCCAAGCAGAAAGATGAGGCCACGGAACATGTCTGTCAAAGGCTGCAATTTTGCATGCGGGTTGAACGCGGAATCCCAGGCCTTAAACTATTTTTGATTCTCAGGCGGCCCGACAGGCCGAAATCGCCGCTGCCTTTAAGGCGCGGGAAGAGCGCTTGGCTCGAGCCCAAGACGGGCTTCGGGAAATCGCAGGTGCCCAAGTAAGGTCATCAGAGCCTTCATAAGTATCACCTGTTAGCAATATCAAGAGCAGACACGGTAGCAATGATCGTGGTAGGAAGCCAGCAGCAGCAGTAGTAGCAGTAGTAGTAGTAGTAGTAGTAGTAGTAGTAGTTGTAGTAGCAGTATTTGTAGTAGTAATAGTAGGAGGAGTAGTAGTAGAAGGAGGCGTAGTAGTAGTAGTCGTAGTAGTAGTAGTAGTAGTAGTAGTAGTAGTAGTAGTAGTGAGTAGTGGCTGTGGTAGTAGTTGTAACAGTCGTCGTAGTAGTCGTCGTAGTAGTAGTAGTAGTAGTAGTAGTAGTAGTAATAGTAGTAATTGTAGTAATGTAGTAATAGCATGTAATAGCAGTAATGGTAGTAATAGCAGTAGCAGTAGTAGTAGGTAGGAAGTAGTAGTAGTAGTCGTCGTAGTAGTAGTAGTAGTTAGTAGTAGTAGTAGTAGTAGTAGTAGTAGTAGTAGTAGTAGTAGTAGTAGTAATGGTAGTAGCAGTCGTAGTCGTCGTCGTCGGTGTCGTAGTCGTCAAGGTACGAGCACGAG